TAGCACAGAAAAATGGTTATTATTAGAAGAAGAGACGATGTTCTGGCAGGTATAATATTGAACTTAGTTGGAAGAAGCTTATATATACCACTGAATCACTAATGGACTCAGTCATCACGTCTATTGAGCACTTGTTTGTGAAAATAGAAAATAAAACATTTATAAAAAAAGAAGAGAATAATCAATCCAGTTACCGTAAAGTTAGAGCTCCCTAAGATGCTCAGACAAGTTCACCCAATTTTTCACTACAGCCTTTTAAAATGCGAGTGACAGTCACTCTTAAGGCCAGTTGCATCTCCCCCCCTCCTCCAATCATGGTAGAAGATGAACAACATTTTGAAATCAAAGAGATTTTAGATTCAAGGAAACATCATGGTTCCACCCAATACCTGGTAGTGTGGAAACGCCTGCCTCCCTCCCAGAACGAATGTGTTCAGAAACGTCACGTTAGAGCCCCTAGATTGCTAAGTTTCATGCTGCTTATCCAGATAAATCGGACTAATCCTTTATTCTATCTCCTTTTTGTTTTGTCTTCTACAGGTGGATCTCTTTTTTTAAGGGGGGCGGCATGTCAAAACCCATTTCTTTGTTGGGGGGGTTGTTCCTTTCAGTTTTCTTTCTGTGGGTTCTGTCATTCTCCTGGGGGGAGGGGGGAGGCTCCAGAGAACACATCTTTTCTCCTTTTTGCTTAGCTACAATGTATCCTCTCTGACTGTCCTATCTGCTTGCTCTTTGAACTGTTTCCCCTTGATGTCAACCTGGGGTGAGAAAGGAATGTGCCTCTGGACATCTGGCTTATCTCTCCCTGCGGAAGAGAAAGGCAACAATATCTTCACAAGCAGGGGAACGGACTCAGTTACCAGCTCTATTCCCACAGCAGATCTAATATATAGGGATTAGCTCATTTGAACTGACCGTACAAATTGTTGGGGTGGGGTTTGCTTGATGCTCTTTTAACCTATTGATCTGAGCGGGAAACCTCCAGATCCTGCCTTCTATGCCTGCTGTCAGCTTCTCCTAACAAAAGTTGCTTTTGGAATGGAAATGCTCCAAGAGTCCTGCTTTCTTGGGATGAGGTTTGGAGCGGGTCCTTACAAATACAATCCTTGGTTGTATAAACAAAGGCATAGAACAGTGATGGTGAACCTTTTAGAGACAGAGTGCCCAAAAACCGCCTCACCCCTGCCACGTCCCGCTTCTCCTGCCCGCAGGGCCACCCACCTCCACTGCCTGCCAGAGCAGATCGCCCAGGCAGCCCAGCAGCATCATGGCGGCCACACCCTCTGTCCTCTCCCCGCAGCATCATCTGTACGCGATGGGGTGCGAGGTTGGAGTCTTCTCCCCGTTGCCCGGCTGCTCTGCACAGGCTGCGCACGGGGCGACTCTCCTCCCAGAGGGGCTGCTGGAGAGGAGGGGGCACTGGGGGTGGCGCGATGGCATGCATGCCCACAAAGAGGGCTCTGAGTGCCGCCCCTGGCACCCGTGCCATAGGTTCGCCACCACTGGCATAGAATCTAAATCGCGTGGAGTATTAGTAGTGCTTTATAAAGCCTTAGTAAGGCCACATCTGGAATACTGCATACAGTTTTAGTCACCACATTACAAAAAAGATGTTGAGACTTTGGAAAAAGTTCAAAGAAAAGCAACTAAGATGATTAAGGGCCTGGAGACTAAAACATATGAAGAACATATGCCGGATTTGGGTACAGCCAGTCTAGAGAAAAGAAGGACCGGGGGGACATGATAGCAGTATTCCAGTATTTGAGGGACTACCACAAAGAAGAGGGGGTCAATTTATTTTCCAAATACTAGAAGGCAAGACAAGAAACAATAGGTGGAAACTAATCAAGGAGAGAAGCAACCTGGAATTAAAGAGAAACTTCCTAACAGTGAGGACAATTAACCAATGGAACAGCTTGCCTTCAGACATTGTGGGTGCTTCATCACTAGAGGTTTTTAAAAAGAGACTGGACAACCGCTTGTCTGAAATACTATAGGGACTCCTGCTTGAGCAGGGGGCTGGACTAGACTTCCAAGGTCCCTTCCAAGTTCTATTCTGATTGACCTACACACAGGATGTGTGTACTTCAGCATATTCAAAATGTCTACAAATTCTAAACTCTGATTATGCTACTGACTGCTTAGAAAGAGGAGTGGGTGGGTTTTTTTCCTTTACCCTACTCCCTGTGAAGCTGTTTCCACTGCAAAACTTTTGTTTACAGGATATAGATGATTATCCATAATCAGCTACAAATTAGACAACTGTTAAGATGCAAGTTCTTGCTTTCCAGTTCCACCTCATATAACTTTATGAGGAAGGAAGGAAGGAAGGAAGGAAGGCTACTGTGCCATTGTCTCTCCTGTCATAACAGTTACAAGACTCTTTTTGTACTTACTTGCTAGAAGTCTGTAAGCAAAAAAGGTTTTCAAAATTAATGTCACTACTGTTTTATTTAGAAGTCTATTATCTAATAGACTCTTCAAAATGCCACAACACATACTTAAAATCAGTAACAGAACATATATAATTGGAAATGTGCTTTTAAAATATGTTATGCATATGGAACTTATACCATTAAAAAGGACGCCATATAACAATCAAGAACAAAAAACCCTCCTAAAAACATCAGTGGAAACCAATGCTCTGAATGAACCTGAATCATATAAGACGTTTGCTACATCTCCACAGGCAAGCAGCTCTAAAGAGAAAAATCTGCAATCAAGTGAGCAACCCTTGACCAAGAATTGGGACAGCTCAACATAAATCATGACAAGCGCAAAGCTGGGTGCCCAATGCAGCTTCTGCAGGGTCCCTGAAGCCTTGCAGTATCACCATCTCAGAACATTCCATCGCATCTGCCAGCCCTAACTGGAAATGTTTGTACTGCATGGATGTATGCAATGCACCAACCAAATTCCCATTCTCTTTTTCCAACAAGGAGAAAATCTTCAAAATTGGCTCCTGGATCTTGATCACAAACAGATAGACCTTCAACTGGACTTCTCCCCTGACCATTCAAATATATGCTGACATTATACAAAAATAACCTACACAGCACACCAAAATTAAATTAAGCCACATGGTCTCATTAATGCAAAGCAGATTAATCTCTTCATTCACAAGAATTCTTGGACTGCTGCTCTTTCAGCAACACCACTGCCAGGCAGGAAGCAATAAACCAATATAACTATGCAAGTACTGATGGAGACACAAAATCCAAAGAAGAGAGATAGATATTGCCTTAAGCCTCTTCTTTTCATCTGGCCTGTTGTCTCCTGGACAACAAACCTCTTTCAAAAGTACAGAAGAAATCCTAAGAAATCCTTCTAGGTTTCAGAAGTATGTATCATGCCATTTTTAACCTCTTATCCATTAAGACTGACCCACATTTTTTGGACTAATTTGAACTCCAAATGGTCACTATTGCGACTCTCTTTAGATCAGATAGTATACTTTAGGTTGATATAAATTATAGTATCTGGACAAAGAACAACAAAGCATCTGAATGAATACTTCCTTCACAAACCCACACTTAATCAGCTCACTTAAAGAACTAAAAACTGCACACATATAGCATGCTAAGCTTTGATGGTTTTAACAAATTTGGTTTCCCTTTTTGGTTGATAGCCTTTCAAGGTAGTCCAGACAAGAAGCAAGACAATGAATACTAACTCTATATTTATTGTAAGGTTAATTAACAGAATCCTGCAAATCTGAAAGTAGTACTTTTACTCTCTCAAAAACTAGGGAGGATCCCTTCTGAGACCCTTTTTCCACCCCTCTTTTGAACTCAGATTTGTCTTATCAGACCACTGTATAAGCTCCAGGTCTTCCTCCTGTCTTCCAAGGTCAATCCAAAGGAACATTACAGGTTAGAATGTTGTACAGTATAAACCCAGCACATCTGCTTAGTTTATGGTTCAATGTACTGCATACATCCAGAAAATGGATTATATAACAGGTGTTGTAAGATCAGTCATACTGAATCTAATAGTGAACTGAAAAGAAATGAAGTCTAAAACCACAATCTTCAGACAAGTAAGCCATGCCTGAGTCAGTTTGGATGTCTGGCAACTAGACAAGTGCACACAATTTTCATTAGAGTTTTACTTTTGCCTTCTTCCTCGGGCTCAGGGAGAGTGACTGGAAAAGATTACACAGCAAGCTTCTGCTTTAAGGCAGGACAGGAACTCACTTTCCTTTGGCAGAGTTAGATAATATCCAAAGGATCCAAAATTTAAAAAATATTTTCCAAAATTACTGGTCAGAATCTCATTAGATTTCATAAACAAGAAAAGTAAATCTGAAATTAACTGCTATTGCCCTTTTCATGGGGTCTGCATCCAGTATCAAAATAATAATATACTTTTTTCCCCTAAATTCCAGGTCAATCTAGTCTTGGAGTTCCCTGTGGTCTCCCATCCAAGTACTAATGAGGCCCAACTCTATTTAGGTTCAGAGCTCAAGCAAAATCCAGATTAGTATTATGCAAAAGGAAAAACAAACGCCTTAAAAAAATGCAAGACCGACCCGGTCCTGCATAATTGAGATAAAATATGTAAATATAAAGAGAGAGCCGCGATGTTTAAAGGCTGCTCACGCGTCAGCCATTTTAGATTCATAAACTGATCTGCCAAAAATTTGAGGTAATATCTCACTTTCCCGTTGTCGCGCTCCGAGGCAATTATCCGAGCTAACGCACATTGAAAACCCGTAAGAAATACACCCACTTCCAAAGCCCCAGCCGGCTTAAAACTACTTCCGGAGCCTCACTAGGCCCTATTTATGACCTCTTTGTTTCGACCCCATCGTGCTCCCCCCGGACGTTCTTACGTTCCCCTTCCAAACTCGGCGCTGCGCTTCCTCACTGCTCTTTTAGGCCGCAGCTTGCAAAATGAGCTGCTGCTCCGCGTCCGGGAGAACCGCTCTCATTTCTGCTGCTGGCCCCGCTGGCGCTCGGCAGAAGCATTTGCTGGACCAGATGCGGCTGCCTCCTCACCTTTGTGTCTGGGGACAAGATGAGCACTTGATTGCTGCAGCTGTTTTTTTCATTCTGTCCCCTTTCCTCCTCCTCCTCCTTCTTGGCTGAGTCTTTCTGTGCCAAGGCCGAGTTAAACGAGACTTTCACCATGGCTGCAGAAGCTCTCGGCTAAGGCTTCAGCAGGGAAACAAAGCGACAGGCAGCTGCGGCGAAGGTGGCCGATCGGGCCTCCGCTTCCTTCTCGCCGAGTCCCAGGGGTAGAGCGGGGCAGGTTCTGCGTGGCTTCCCTCCTCTTCCTCTGTCGCCCTCAGGTGCCGAGCATGCCCGACCGAGCAAGGGAAGCCGAGAGGCAGGGGGAGGATTCGGGAGGGCGGGAGCCAGCCAGCCAACTCAGCCTAGACGGCCGGATCGAGCAGCCAACCCTCCGCCCCAGGGCAAGCGGGAACCAGACTCGGCGGACCAGAAGTCGGAGCTGCTACGCAGGAAACCAAAAGCTCCGGCAGAGCGCGAACCTTCTGCGGAAGTTTGCCCGAGGCACAAAAACTTGGCCTCAACTACTCAGGTTCACCTTCACTCCGGTTGTACCTGAAATGCTAACTTAAGAGCACGGGGGCTAGATTGTTGCTGTCTGAAACTGGGTGAATTCAGCTAGCTTATCTCAGAAATTGCTCTAAAGTTCACATGGTTCCGACCATACTCAGTTCTATGTAATCCTGAGCTACTAGAGCAAATAAGGCAACCATGCGTTGTTACATCACGAATCATAACTTGCCTCCTAAATTCATTCACCTGAAACCTTTCATTTTACTCCCAGTCATACACAGGTGCATACCCCTCCTCCAGGGTTCTAATGCAGACATTTACTTCTACTAACTATAGGAAGCCATGGCTCAAGGCAGTTTCCTGCTATTAAAGATGTGCTCATCTTTGAATAAATAACTGCCTGAGCTGTAAATTAAAGACTCCAGCCAGTTAGCTCAACTCCTGGTAAAGACACAAACATGTAATCTTTGTTTCCCTCTGTAGATTTTTTTCTTTTTTTCTTATTCTACCTGGACAAATTCCCAGTTTTCTTGGCAAAGTTTTTCAGAAGTAGTTTGCCACTGCCTACTTCCTAGGGTGGAAAGAAAGTGACTGGCCCAAGCTAATCCAACTCAAGGGCTCCTGGTTTCTAGCTTTGATGCCTTAACCACTATCATAAACTGGCTCTCTAGGTCTAGCTTACCTTTCTGTAATTCCCCGTGGCCTCCATCTACCTGCTAATCAGGTTTGATCCTGCTTAATTTTACAAGAACAGTTAAGGGTGCTTCATTCGGGTTATCAGTTTATGGCCTAATGCACTGTGCAAATCCAGTAAATCGTGATTAATAAAGGGTACATTGCAAAGTCAGAGCCAATCTCTTAATTTTAAAGTGAAGTTTGGCGTTTTTATGCCTATTAGTATTATTTTGTGCTTGTTTACCCTGAACTGCATTCACCACCATTGTTTGATCGGTAGATTTTTATAGTCGGCTTTTTTATTCCCAGTGGAGATTTTAAGACGGCTTCTGTCCTTTTAAAAAGTTCTTTTTTTAATCGACATAATAATTATCCATCTTGAACGTCTCTGCTACCAGATTAGCAGTTGCCATCGGCAGTTGAGCCTTGAGAAACCTGCCAAGAGCCTCTACCACGCGGATTGGCTGTTCGACCGGCCGGCCGAGGAAGGCGGAGTTAAACCCAGCGCAATTCTGCAGGATCCGGTTATGGAGAAGCCGCTTCGGCCGGGGGTCGGAGTTGGGGTGGTGATAACGAGTCTTAGGCACTCTGGTTGCGTCCTAGTAGGCAAGCGGAGAAGTGTCGTCGGGAGGGGCTTCTTCCAGCTTCCTGGAGGGCACTTAGAGTTTGGGTGAGCTGGAGGCATGCCTCGTGACAGTGCCGCGCGGCCCGTTCCTCTTGCGCGCGTGGACCTGGCGGAGAGGCTTTGGCGGCTTCTATCCTGGGGAATGAAATAGACGTTTGTCATACTCGGATACTTTACGATGTGTGGACTCTAATTTCCGGAATCCCAACATTCCGGGAATGGAAATCCACACTTTTAATGCTGCCATCTTTGAAAAATACTGCCATCTTTAAATAGATGGGATGCCTTCTGAATGAACGCTCAATTTTAATTTTGAAAAGTTGTAAGCCTCATAGACCCAGGAGAAAAAGGGAATTAATAAGTAAGGAGTCAGTCGTTCTTGATATCAGTAACAGAATAACAGTTGAAAGGGACCTTGGAGGTCTTCTAGTCTAACACCCTGCTCAAGCAGGAAATAGTTTTAATAATGTGGAGTGTTATTTTTAAAAAACTTTTGTCAGAAGTTTTTCCTTGGTTCGGGTCTCCAGCTGGGAAGCAGACCTTCAGCGCAGGTGGAAGAAATGACAGGGAACGAAGCAAGCTGCCAGAAAGTAGGTTTATTTACAGAAACCAGACACCATACAATACAGCGGAGGTTCCTGGACTAGCTAGTAGATTACAAGGTGAGGGGACTTGTTCTTATACCCCTCAAGTTATTGAAATTATGATTTGACTTCTGAAAGGATTTTTGTTAAATTAATGCTATCTGGTTTGTGTCTGCTTTGGCCGGTAGTGATTAATGCTGTCTTCAGGAAGGACCCTTTGTTCATGTAAATATGTTCCTATATGGTTCATGTCTCGTTTTTGTTAGTGTTGCAAAAAACCTATTGAGATTGATGGGTCTTAATTGTTTCGTAGAAACAGGAGTCTGGGGTTTTCTCTTTCTCCGGAATGTTTTTCTTTGTCTTGGCAGTTTGCCCAGAATAGCTCAGGGGAGGGGGAGTGAGGATGAGAGACAGGAAAAACTTCGGTCTTTTTAAATTCGGTTTGACTTGTCCTTTAAATGGTTCTTTTCCTGAGGTGTACCCCCTCCTTCCTGGGTTCATTTCCATTAGAGATGGCAGTTTTAAGGGTCTGGGTTTCCTTTGTAATATTTAATTATAAGATTCCTTTTATTTTAGAACAAAATTACTCACTTGTTTTGGTGTCTGGATTAATTCTAAGGTGTTCTTTCTTGGCGCCAATGATTAGTCATCTGTCAATTTTATTGGTGGTAAAGCTACTAGATTTTGGTTGTAAAACATTAAATGACCAAGAGTGGTAGCAATAGATATAGTAGCCTAACATTTGATTTTCTTTTTTGTAGCCCAAATCTGGTATTGCTGGTTATGGGGGATTTTGCTACTAGTCTTATTGCAGCACAGAATTGAGGGGAAAGGAAGGAAAGGCTTTGCTTTACTTTCTAGTGGCAGTAATAGTAACAAAATAACAAAGTTGAAAGAGACCTTGGAGGTCTTCTAGTTCAACCCCCTGCTCAAGAAGGAGATCCTGTACCATTCTGGAAAAGTGGCTGTCCAATCCCTTCTTAAAAACCTCCAATGATGAAGCACCCACAACTTCGGGAGGGAGGCCACTCCACTGATTAATTATTCTCACTGACAGGAAATTTCTCTTTAGTTCTAGATTGGATCTCTCTTTGATAAATTTCCATCCCTTACTTCTTGTCCTGTCATTATGTGCTTTGGAGAATTGGTTCATCCTCTCCTCTGTGACAGCCCCTCAAATATTGGAAGACTACTATCAAGTCACCCCAGTCCTTCTCTGCATTAGGCTAGACATACCCAGCTCCTGCAACCATTCATTGTGTTTCATCCTTCAGTCCCCTTATCATCTTTGTACTCTTCTCTGCACTCTTTCATCTTTTTTGTATTGTGATCAAAACTGGATGTAGTATTCCAAGTGTGGTTTTACTAATGTAGCATAAAGCAGTACCACCACTTCATTTGATCTTGATATTATCCCTTGCTTAATGCAGCCTAGGATTGTATTGGCTTTTTTCAGCAGCTGCAGCACCCCGTTGGCTCATACTTAAGTGTTTATCTACCAGGACACCTAGATCACCCTCACAATTACTGCTGTTAAACCAGGTATCACTTGTTCTATACATATGCATTTGGTTTTTCTTACCTAAATGTAAAACCTTATTTTTCTTATCACCAAATTACATTTTATTGTATAAGGCCAAGTGTACATGTCTGTCAAGATTCTTCTGGACAGACCTGCACATTTTAAGGCCCGCAGCTGATTTTGTCCAACCCATGATGGCAGGGCGCGTGGCAGAAACCCCATTGATTCAGCTCTCCACAACAGTCCCAGTTTTGCATGTGACCCCTTGAGAAAAGTAATTGCCTACCCTGTTCTAAAGTTTTGGTTATTCCCTCCCACATACTTGTTGTCATCTGCAAATTCAGTGAATTCCCCTTCTATCCCCTTATCTAAACATTTATGAAGACATTAAAGAGTACTGGGCCTAAGACAGAACTTTGGGTGCTATCCAGGGAATGGCTGAGGGAACGCAGGAGGCAGCACCTGTGGCTGAGGCAGCAGGGCCAATGCCTGATGCAGGAGCTGGGGATGCTCAGCCAGTGGTGCGGCCCAAGGCGCGGCCTGCAGCTCCGGTGAGTGAGCCCCAGGACGCAGGGGCCCCAGGCCCTTCGGGGGAGTGGTGGCACAGCTCTGCACTCACCAACCCAGATGCCGGCCACACACATACACCAGGTACCGAAGAGCCTCTGATGGAGTGGTGGGAGAGGCGTCTCACGGATGAAGATAATGGGGGTTGGAGCTACTCCATGGCACCCGGACATCACACCATGGACATCCTGAGGGACAGGTTCGGTGAGACCGGGTTCCAGGATTCCCCCTCATGGTCAAGATGGGAAGCGACCCGTGAGATAGCTTTGTGATCCTGGAAGGAGACACAGCCACCCCAGTCGGGACCACCCCGATTCCATCTGGCCAGCCCACTGTTCAGGGTAGCTCCTGGGCATGCGCCTGGTACTCCCCAGGTGGGGTATACCGACAGAACAATCACGGCAGGCCGTTGATGGACCCAGGTGGAGCCCCCACCAGGCGGACGGCTAGGCCAACTGGGTCCTCAGTCCGGTAGATGGCAGGGCCCGGGGACCAGCGCTTTCCACCTATGGCTGACACTCTACAGGGCACAGGTTAATCTTTGGGGCCATGAAGTCCAGGGGAGGCTTGGGGTCTGCCACCAATACCAGCAACATTTGATGGGAACCCGGACCGGTTGGCGATGTTCCTCAGCCAGGTTATAAACCATCTGGACTGATACGCTCGCTTCTATCCATCTCAGTGGGCAATGGTGGTGGCGATAACGGCGGGATTGCAGGGCAAAGCAGCAGAATGGGCGGCAGATCTCTACAGCGAACATGCCAGGGAACTGGCCGACGCCGGTCTGTTCCTGGAGGCTCTGCGATCCCGGTTTGAGGACGTCTCCGGGGTCCAGCGGGTCGAGGCAAAGATACTGGTGCTAAATCAGCGAGGCCGGTCTGCAGCAGAGTACATCCGTGAATTCCGGCGGGTGGCCAGTAGACTGCGCTCCTGGCCAGAACGTCTACTGGTTCACCAGTTTCTAGCAAGCCTGGAGCAAGATCTGCGCCAGGTATGTGTTTTTCGTGGTGTCCCGAGCCGACTCCAGGACTGGTTCCGTGTAATGG